AAGCTGAGAATAAGAGGAAAAAGACTCCTTAAGTTTTCTCTAAGATTAATATTCTATGAGTATCAACCATTATTTATAGTAAATTTACATTTGCTATTTATTTTTAATGTATCATAGAGCATATACTTTTGGGGAAAATACTTAAAATATTAAATGCTACTGATTGATGATGTTTATTTAAAATTTAAATATATAGACAAGAAAATGAAATGGCCCTTATTGTGAAAAATCAACCATTAATCAGTGACAACAACAAAATTAATAACATGGAGTTTTTACATATTGGGCTATAAGTAAGTAGACATTAAGTATTACATCAAATATCTAAAGCTTAAAATATGGCTTGTGGAATTAAGATAAATCCAGCTGACATTATCCAACTGATATTCTATAAACCCTATGAAATTAACTTTGTGTTTTATTAGCATTAGGTGCATAGTATGACTAGACTCTTAGGTTCCAAATGCTGTACAATATTACCAACATTCCAAATTATGCCTTAGTTTTTTTTTTTTACTCTTTATTCTCTTTTATGGAAAAGTGACCATATTCATAGCAGCAGCTACTTGCAGACTGCAATTGTTGCTGGTCTGCACTATGAACAAATCAATTGGTTGGATAGTCTTATATTTCTTATGTTTCCATAAAGTCCATTCTGCTTGTTTGCTTCTAGAGTTTCAATGACCTCATGAGCTGCTGGGCTGACTACTAACTCTGCTGGTGTCCTCAGGACACCAAATAGACGAGAAATCAAAAGACTTATGTTTGAAAAGTTTGTTTGGCCAACTGATGTAAATCATTCCTGATGTAAATATATTTTGAGAAGACATCACAAATTCCAAATACAATGATCACTTAGCTGTGTCTGGCACTATTCTCAAAGATGTATAGTTTATTATTGTTGCTTGAAATTAGGGCCTGGTAGTCTCAAGAAGTTCATAATCAATATACGTTCAGATTGCTTTTACAAAAAAATTCTGCTGAGGGCCCTCCCTGGTGGCACAAGGGGTTAAACCTCTGTAGCATGCATTCGATCCCCTCCAAGGAGAGGATGTAGCATGCATTCGATCCCCTCCAAGGAGAGGACGCACATGGCATGGCAGACCTTTCCTGACCAGCCCTCTGCTCCCCTCAACAGGGTATTTCAGTCAATCTACCTATCCTGCTCTCCACTCTGTCTCTGGAGAATCCTCTTACCCACTGTACCTCAGGTCTATATCCCAATTCTTGCATGCATAAATAAATAAATCTTTAAAAAAATCTGCTAAATTTGTTAGTTGGAGGATTTTATTATAAAGAAATGAAGGAAAAAAGGAAAGAAATGAAGCATTATTCATTTTTAAATAAATGAAACAAATGCCTAAAAACATGTGATCATAAACTAAGAAAAAAGACTGCTATAATTAACAGATTTTGTGTGTCCCAGAGTCATGAAATGCTAAAAGCCACTAGTGAATCTTAACAGATTAAGCAGTCCTCTAATTTCTATAATTTTCTTGACAAGAATCTTTTTTCATTTAAAAAATGAACAAGTGTTTGTCCTGTGCTAGATAATCATGAAACACAGAACCAAAGGTACAACTTTATGAGGTTCACTAATCACATTTTTATACTGATAGGACTTACAGGTTTATTTAGTCCAATCTCCTTATTTTACAAATGAGAAAACTGAGGTCCAGAGCAATAAAATGACTTGCTCCTAGATAATAAAGCTACCTGTTAAGCACGGCAGGTAGCTTTACTCCACTGCTCTTATCAGAGGAGCTTCCAGAACAGATAAGCCAACCTATCCCAGTATGCTATGTTGGAGAGATGTTTACAGTTCATAGATTTTGATTTTAGCACATACACGCCTCTTGGTTTTGCTTACAATTTAACAAGTGCAGAAGATGGCCTTGTCATCAATATAAAATAGATAGCTGAAATAAATGAGAGGACCATGGGCTTAATCTAAACAGTGAACATGATGTCCACTAGAGGAAGCACATTTTCTACAAAAGAAAGAGCTGTGGGGGTTGTCTGCTGATTGAGAGTGAAATGAAAGTAAATGAGTCATCTACTAAGGAGTTCTCTTTATTATTCAAAGATAGAAACATACCAAGATACACAGGTGAGATAGGAAAGGCTTTCAGGTAAACCCTGCTTATGTAAGGCAAAGTCCACTGTTTATTTTCTCAGAAAGAAAAAGGGAAAATGTTGGACATTTCCTTGGCATACCAAAAACTATTGACACTGGAATCCAAAATGTGTGAAACACTAAAGAATCTTACAATTTGGAAAAGGGAGTGGAAGGAGCCTATAAAACCAATTAAAATGAGCTTATTGAGCATTTACGATCATCATGTTACATCCTCTAACTCAACTGACAAGTTGGGAAATAGGAACTGCTGGGCGTAAAAAGAAGCCGAGGCCTTAGGGACAAGGTTTACTGGTGGTGTAGCCGGTTCCATTCTTTGGCTCTTGCCTTTATGCTACGTGGTCTCCCAGTTGTCAGGGTGAGAACAGGGCAGCAGTTCTCCATAGTTAAACTCTCTGATTGCCAACTCTATGATCATAAAAAGGATTGACACAAAACAGAAGATACAGTTTCCAAGAGTGTAAGTAATGATTGTTCAAATCCACGATCCTTCTCCAATGAAACAGAAAACAGCCGGTAACAAATGAGCACATCCTTTCTGCACCCAGCACCAGACATGCTGTTACACTGAATATAACTTTTTCACACTATACCTCCTAGGTCACCTATTTATTGTACAGGCATGTTTGTTTCAGAAACTTCATGTGAATTTCAAACAAAATGAAATACACTAAGAGAAGAAAACGTTTCTTGGTTGAACTAAAGTGTAAACTGGGAGCCCTTGAATCTTTCAGGCTGAATGGGTCTGACACAGTGTGTGTCCGGCAGCAACTGCCGCTCTTAGATAACCTGAGCAAGGACGTTCTCCTTCATCAGCACATTTAGAGTCACCATCTTTCTAACCTGAGATAACCATCGGGAAGAAGCTTCACTCACAACCCTCTACTTATTCCAGAACAAATTTATTCAATTTCATCTACCTGGGATACTGTGAGAAATAAGAAAGCAAGGAAGAAACACTAGTAGGAGGCCCAAATAAACACTCCAATGTTTATTTAATTCAACTCAGCAAGTATTAACCTCACTACTCACTAAGCATTGTGCCTCATACTGGGGATTATGAAGACGATAATTGTAGCAGTAATTACTACAGACAGAATGCTTACTATGTGCTAGGCATTGTTATAAATACTGAAACTCATTTGGTCCTCCCAGCAATCCTATGAGGTAGCTCCTATTATCTATGTTTCTGTAATATGAACATTGAGACCCAGAGTGGTGAGGTAACTTATCTATGGTCACAGCTAGTGAAGAATGACTGTTAATCTAAATCATCTGGCTTCTGAGCCTGCATTTCTAATCACTGCAGTATACCGTGCTCTAAAGTGGGGATAAGGATTGCAGGAATCAGTAAGACTCTCCATCCCCAGAGTCTACAGCTTTATTGAAAGACACAAATAAACCTTAGAGGTATATATAACCAACAGCAGATACAGGGGATGCTCCCAGCAGGAGATGTCTGTCAGCAGAGTTTAGGAATGGGGCTAACTGGAGGAAGTTGGGGTATAGAGTACATTCTGGGAGACAGAGTCTTTTTTCACTAAGTCCTAGAGCGAAGAAAAGGATGAAGAGACTGTGGGCCTGTAGGCTGGTCACTACTAGAGCTGTGAACAGAATGTGTATCAATAATTGTTTTCCGGGAGAAAGGATGGAGGTCTGGGAAAGAGGTGGAGAGGTAATCAGGCAAGCACAGCAAGGACCCAATGTGACATGTGAAGGTCTTGTGGAATACATCCTAAAAGAAATGGGGTGTCTTGAAGAAGTTTGAACAGGGGAGGCTGCTGCAGTAACACAGAATGATCAAAGGAGGTGAATCTAGAACAAGGCTGAGTGCATAAGGCTCTATCAACAGTATTACTGTTACTCTTCTTAATAGGTAAGAAGATATAGTAGTTTGGACTGAGGTAGTAGCATTGGAGATGGAGGAGAGTGGACGTAGGTAAGAAATGCTGAAAAGGAAAAGTATATGATGATTGACTCTAAATGGGGGAACAGGAAAGAACCCAAGAAATCACCAGGTTTCCACACTACCAAGTGGAGGTGTAGAGTTCATTGAGACAAAGACAGCTGGACAAGGACCAGGTTTCCAATATGGAAAAGAATCCACTCACATACAAGTTTCAGCACTTTTCTCAGAGGAAACACATCTAACCCAAAACTCAAAATTCTTTCCTTAAATCTTGTTAACAGTAATACGATTGTGATCTCTTTCCAGCCCATGAGTGACTAGTATCTGAAATTTTCAGGGAAAGAGTTTGTACACAGGAAACAAGGAGACTGAGAAGGAAGAAAAAAAATGTAGAAAATAATTAGAGGAGTCAATTTGGGAATACAAAGAGAACTTCCTATCTCAGTAGCACATCACAAGAACAGGTTACAGGATTAACCTAATCACTGAGAAAAGGCTAATATGTGCACTATAAATACTGTTTAAATAAGCAGGGAAATAGAAAATCCTTTTAGAAAGGCATTGATAGAAATGGTTCAAATAAAATGTGGGACGGCAAAAGCTGCTTCTACTTAGAAAATTCACTTATTGTGGAAAATGTCATTCACCAAAATGACAAGTAAAACTGGTGATGGAATTCATGTCTCCTCTCAGAAGAAAGGCACTTCAAGGGTGGAGACAGGCTCTCTACCAACACAATCTTCCTCCCTTAAAGCCAGAATTCTACTGTTTCCCTTTGCCACCTTGAGAAGATCTAATTGCTCTGTGTTTGTTCTCTAAGAGTTCTGAGGATGTTCAGAGACATTAAGCTGGCTCTCATCTTAAGGTCATGCATTGCTCCCTTGGCAATTCACGAATTCTGATAGAAAACCACTGCCAGACCCAGAATGAATCAGTGTTAAGTATGTTGCTTACCTGTCCCTTATTATGACTTCACCGCAGGACTGGCAATAAAATGTCCAACATTCTTGTGCTTGTGAGCTCTGGTTAAACATTGAAGTCAGTTCTAAAGAAAACCAATGAAATAGCAAATCTTAGAGGTTTGGGCAAACCTCTAATATTAACATACTGAAAGAGCTTAAGAATCAAAACAAATTACTATCAACACAAACACTGTTTATGATCTATTTAGAAGTAAGCATTTAATTAATATTTTCCCATGACTCAACTAGTAATAAATTCTGTGAACACTTCAAAAACAACAGATTTTGCTGAGCATCTCAAAGCTGGGTTTGGCCATATATATCCATGCAACACACTGTAGGGTTACTTCTTTCATGCTAAGAACACATTAAGGATAAGAGAAAAGGAGGTATTTCCTTTACATCTAACTAACTACATTGATCTTCACTATCATCAACTTTCCTCTGCTATGTTTTAGGTATCATTTTTCATCAGTGTGACTGCTAGTAAATACAGCTCTGATATTAAGTTTTATTTGACTTATGTCCAACTTGCAAATTACCAGTACATACAAACAAAATGAATATTGATACTAGTCCTTATGGGGCAGCTTCCTGAAAATGGAATTGTTCCTAAAAAGAATTCGAATTCCATATTTCAAGGGCAACCACAGTTTCTGATGGAAGCTGTAGGGAAACATTTATTTTGCACATTCATACATTCATTACTTCATTACCAAAGAAACTGTCATTTCACCCCACTAAAATATTTATCTACAAAGCTAACCTAAGGACATGAGGCCATATGTATTAGAATCAAGTATTTTGAATTTAGATCCTGTTACTCTGTAAGTATTTAGATTAAAGATCCTGATGCTGGAAACAATAATCCCTGACAATTAAAAATCCTTCCATTTAATTTCTAGGAATACCTGCCAATCCTAATCGGACTAAGGTGAAGGAAACAATGTTCATTATCTATGAGCACATAGGAAGACCTGGATAAAACTAGTCAAATATTCTTTTCAGTACCAATAAAACAAATTATTCAGTCAAACACTCCCCTCTGCAGGCCAGCCGGTGACTCACTAGCTCAGCTACAGAATTTTCTGTACAGTGGCAGGGATTAGTCCAATGCTTGTACAACATCAAATTTTACTATAGTCCAGTTCATGTCAAGGCTCGTGATCGCATCTACTTTATATTCAAATTAGTGCAAGAATATGTTATTAAAGTCCTTAAAGAACACCTTAGAGTTGAAAAGCCAACCTTAAAAAAAAATCCAAAAATATAATAGAATGCAAAAAATTTCACAAGTCACTTCCCACAATACTTTCATTTACATCAGTACACATCTGTTATTTATTCATTCAGCAAATATTTATTCACTATCTACTATGTGGAAAGCTCTAAAGGAATTAGCTACTGAGGAATCTATTTTGCATACCCTTTCATGCACTACAGATCAGGCCTTTGAACAAGTTCCTTTTCAGAATTTGAATAAAATGTTTTTACAATATAAAGAAACAGCAAAGCAAGGAATGAAAATACATGCATACCAACACTTAACATTTAGTTTATCTTGTCTTCAGTTAAAAGGAAAACAATGTTTTTTGATTTAAAATTTTTTAAGTAGGGCCTCTCTGGGGGGCACCCAGGTTAAAAACAGCTCTATCAGGGCCTCCCTGGTGGCAGAGCGGGTTAAAGCACTGAACTAAGAAGCTTAAGCCACTTCCGCATGAGTTCGATTCCCCCTGCCCTGGAGGAGATCCACATGGCTGGCAGACCTCTCCTGACCTGCCCGATGCTCCCCTCAGCAGTGTGCTTTGTTGATCTGCCTGTTCTGCTCCCCACTCTGTCTCTGGTGGATCCTCTCACCCTCCACATCTCTGGCCTGTACCCCAGTTCTATATGCATAAATAAATAAAGCTTTAAAAAAAAAAAAACAAAACAGCTCTATCACGCTCTGGGGGCCATTGCAACAGGAGTTCTATCCTGGGCCAGGGAGCTGACCCACATGTCCCCAGCAGACCTCCCCTGTCACACCCACTACTCCCCTCAGCAGTGGATTTCAGTAGACCCATCTGTTCTGCTCCCCACTCTGTCTCTGGTGAATCCTCTCACCACCACCCCCACCCCCCTTCAACATCCCAATTCTTCTATGCAAACAAAAACAAAACAAAACAAAACCTTATTTGTTCAATGCCTGTCCTTAAGTTCCATAAGAAAATTAGACTTTCCCTCACTTGTTCACTTCTGCAACTCCAGCACTTGTATCAATGCCTCCCCGCCTAACATGAGAGAATATTTGTAAAAGAAATGCATTTCTTTGTAATGCTTTAAAATCAACTATTCTTGCATAACTGCCATCTGACTTAACCTTCACATCAACTCTGTAAGGCCGGTGATCTTTATAATTAAAGAGTTGAAAGCGGGAGTGCATGGAAAAAGTCTATACTTTTCTGTTCAGTTTTCCCAGGAACCTAAAACTGCTCTAAAAATAAGCAGGAAAAGAGCACTAAAAAACAAAGCAGGAAACAAGAGCCCAGAAAAGTTAAGTGACACCTTCAACTCCAGACAGATAATAGCGAGCAGAGTTGATAAAGGTCCAAGATCTTGATCCCCAGATTTGCATTCCATTGAGGAGCAGTTATTTTCATCTAGGGAAAGTTCAGCTTTTCAACTGAAAAATCATCTTTGGTTTATCATAAAAAAGGAATGCAGAGAGGGCTAATCTTACTCGTGCTGAATTCTGCCCGCGCCTGCAGCCTCAGGTGCACTCCGTCCCCAGCCACGAACTGCAGCCCCCGGCAGGAAGAAGGTACAAGCCTGACCTCTGCTGGAAGGCTGATCTCTGTGCAGCTGTCTGGGGTTTTCATCTGGAGCGAGGACGGCGTTATGGAAATATCCATCGACAGACCTTCTTCTTTCTGTTCTCTGATAATCAAATAAAACACAAAAAATATTTCTGACTGATGAAAACCATCTGATGAAAGAAAACAATTGCTAAGAGTCTCTCCACTCTTATTCAATAGGATTCCCTCAGTTACCACCCCGGAAAAAAGGCAGCAAACTGATAATGGACCCCAATCTATAGTGACACACTAACTTAGGTCGGATTAGAGAGTACTTTGCATTGTCGTAGCGAGATGGAAGTTCCAGCATTTACTTTTTATTCTTGTTGCTTCTCCTGAGCTGCTCTCTCCTGCCAGTCTCCTATCTTAATGTTTCCTCCACCTACTTACCCTGGACCTTCCTGGGATCACTCCTAGAGCCACTCTGCTTGCAAATTCTGCAGTTCTTTTAAGCGACTTGCTGTGCTCCCTGTTTCTTCCCACCTGTCTCCCCAACTTCAGCTTCTTGGATCCACCAGCACAATTTGATTTGGGTTTGCAGTACAACTCACCCTTGATCTTTAAAATATTTTTTAGCAAGATAATTCAGTGTAAGACAGTGCCTTCTTTATCTTTGCACCCCTTTGCCACTAGCATGGTTTGACATTCATTGACTCACTCATTCATTCAATCATTTTTGAGTTCTATAATGTGCCAAACACTGGAAATACCATTAGGTTATTTTCTTTGCCACCACCCTTACCAAAGTAGGGGACAAGCAAGTAAAAAGGAATGAACAAGGGAGCAACACTGTATGTGAACAACACTGTATTTCCTGGTATTTCCTGGTACAGGCTTCTGTGGAAGCTCTTGGGAGGGTCCAGCGGTTGTCATAGGCCAAGCACTAAGTAAATGCTACTTGAATAATGAATGGGTATATAAGTGAAATATTCTTCTGAGACTAGCATTCAATAATGTTTTGTTTTACACATAGTAAATCAAAGTAAAGTATTACTTGATATAAAGGATTTTGCTAAGGATGTCAGGATTGTGTGGAAAAGCTTCCTTGATACACATGTTCTCCTGTGTTTGAAGCAGAATCATTCACAATAGCCTAAGACATGAAAACGACCTAAACCTCATTGACAGATAAAGAAGATTTGATATATTTGGTTGAATACTATTTAGCTATTAAAAAAGGAAATCTTGCTTTTGGATTGAACTTGAGCTGATTATGCTAAGTGAAGTGAGTCAGAAAATTAAAGACACATACCAAATGCTTTCTCCCATATGTAAAATACAAATAATCAGTGCAAATAACTGGCAAAACATAACAAATACAACTTTTTGATCTACTGTGTGCAAAATAAAATATTACTGAGTGAAAAATATACTGGTTACCAGTGGGGAAGGAAGGGAGTGAGAGGAAGGGTATGACTGGTCTGATAGTACAAATGGCCCTAGAACTTTGGTGGTGGGTGAGGCGAAGTATATACACACACACAGGGATGAAGATATACCTCCCAAGTTTACATACTATTGCAAATGTAAGAATTAAAAAATTAACGGAGAAAAAAATTTAGTGATGTATTAATATGAGGCATGAAAGGATTTACTAATCCAATCCACACCAACACAAATCGCTCAATATAGACCATAAAGAGTACAAAACAGTCTCCACCCACTAAGCACCAACATCAGAAGAGATGGAAACAAATAACGTGCCTCTCACAAAGCCAAAAATGTTTAGCATTGTAACAGGGTGCACGGCAATCAGGTTCTCCCCAGGTGGAGAGTAGGGGTGGCCCTGAGGTAGAGGACACCTAAGTGCAGGCTTCTGTCATGTGTTATTTTGCATTAGAAAATACTAAGATTTTTCTGCTGGTTCCTTTTCAAAGCCCATAGCGCTACACTCACTGGTAAAAGAGAAAATCAGGAACCTGAGGTTTGTTTTTTTTTTTTTTTTTCTGGGAACTCCATCTACAACAGGGTGGTCTCCAGGAAAAGGGGAGGTTCCAGGTTCCCTCCCCCACATTGGGTGCCAAATCTGCTACAGGGCAGGGAGAAGACACCCCTGTACCCCCAAGCCTGTCTGCTCTAAATAGGTTCTGCTATTCACTGCATCAAGACAAGACATATAAGATCTTTAATGGAAGGGAACTTTAATGCAGTTAGTGTGCAATACAGAAAAGACAAAAGGATATAGTTTCTAAATCAAACAAAGTTATCCATCCCCTCGTGGGTGAAAGTTCACCCAAAAGGGATCGGCACAAAGCAAAGCCTGAAAGCTCACCACAGGCCTAAAGCATTTTCGGGCAGGGACCAAAATGGCAATACCAGTCTGGGAGGAAAAGAGCAAAATCACAATGAAGATAAACCTCCTCATGGGTCTCCCACACTCGTCTGTTTCACCCAGTCCAGGACCAAGAAACAAGAGCCACTTCTTCACATGTCTCTCTGCTCTATGTGCCTCCCTCAGGTCTCCTTCTGGCTCTCTAGCCTACTTCCTTCCTCTTCAGTCTCCTCTCCAGATTCTTCAGTTCTTGCCTCAGCTCCACCCTCCTTTTGGGTGGGGCAAGGAACCTGGAACCCCCCCTTTTCCTGGGGACCACCCTATTACAAAACTTTTGAGTTGAAAGTCAAGTTTTAAGAAATAATGATCCTCTAAATCAGGAGTCAGCAAACTTTCAAAAAGTGAAATGGTAACTATTTCAAGTTTTACAGGCCTGTATGGTATCTGTTGTATATTCTACTTTGCATCTTTATAAAACAACCCTAACATAAGTAAAATTATTTCTATTACAGCTATTAGGCTGTAACAAAACAGACACCAGGTTAGATCCGGGTTTGCTGACCCTTCTCTAAAATACACACTGTGTCCATTTTGCTATTTCAGTGATTTTCAAACTGAACTGTGCAGCTGGTATCTGGAAGCACCTCAGAGATACTACTGGGTACACAAGCCCCCACTCATGCCCCAACTCTGGCTTGCCACTTTCCTTCCATTTCCCATCCTAAAAAGTGTGGCAAATCATACAGGGCTGAACAAGGTAGTATCTGTGCAGGTCGGGGAGAGCTACAGTGGTGTGGGATGGTTGTGAGTACCCCAGCAACACCAGGAGGGTTCTACCAAGAGGACCAGCCAGAAGGGGTGAGGAGGAAATTAAGAGGAGCACCAGGGGCAGTTCAGTGTGGGGTTTCAAACTTGCTTTTGTAGGTGCCTGTAACAAAATACTTATACAACATTAATTTTGTCTAGTTCTGGAGACTGGGAATTTTCAAGTCTGCTAGCAGACTTGGGGTTGCTGAGACCCCTCTTTCTAAATTGAAATGGCCACCTTCCCAGTGTTCTCATGGCAGAGCAAGCATGTTGTGGTGCCCCTCCTTACAAGGGCACTCACACAGAGATGGGAAGTCCCTCATGACCTCATCTAAAGCTGTTATTTCCCGAAGGACCATTGGGGGTTACAGCTCCATGTGCTGAAGGGACAGAAACATTCAGCACATAGCAGAGTCCAAGCAGGAGAGGAAAGAGTCACAGTGAGCAGGGGAAGAGAAGTGGAAAAGATGCAGCAGCAGGTTAGTTACACAGAAGGGAATTGGCCAAGTAAATAATGAGGATGTTGTCATTCAAAAATAATAAGGAAAAAAATATCAGGGTTCTTTGAGAAAAGTTATTACATCCAGGGCTGAAATAGGAAAAGAATATGAGCCAGGACCATCTTGCTATGCAACAAAGAGAAGAAGAAATCAAAGAATGGCTAGGGACATGTAAAAAAAAAAAGACACAGAAAGTCTCATAAAAGGACCCCCCTGGCCACATGTGGTATAATTTTAGCAGAAAGTAACCCATTGATTAACATAGGAACATGGTCCATACCGATGTAAATAAATAAATGAATGTGATGAAGGGCTATTGAGGTACAGAATACTTAAATAGTCTCAAGGAATATTAAGACTCATTAATTACGTGGAAAAGGTAACTTTCTGGGGGAATAGCATGACAGACACCACCTGATTCAAGGGCTCAAATGGAACAAATCAAAATCATGTGCTTCCTGACAGGATGCAATGAGAACTAAATATTACATCTGTGCTATTCCTACCTGAATCTAATTTGAAGGTAAAAAGAGAAAAACCCAAACGGAGGAATTTTCTACAAAGTAACTAGGTTATCACTTCAAAGGTGCCAGCATTTTTTTTTTTTTAAAGATTTATTTATTCATACAGAACTGGGGTACAGGCCAGAGATACGGAGGGTAAGAGGATTCACCAGAGACAGAGCGGGAAGCAGAACAGGCAGATCGATGAAGTACACTGCTGAGGGGAGCAGCGGGCGGGTCAGGAGAGGTCTGCCACGCCATGTGGTCACCTCCGGGGCAGGCGGGGATCGAACTCATGCGGAAGTGGCTTTAGTTTCTCAGTGCAGTGCTTTAACCTGCTGCGCCACCAGGGAGGGCCGGTGCCAGCATTTTTAAAGCCCAAGAAAATGAGGAACTCTTCCAGATTGAGAGACTTCGGTAAGGAAATAACGAAATGCATGCTTCTGAGCTGGATTCTTTTGCTATGACAGATGTTATGTGGATAACCGAATAAGGTTGGTATTTAGTAATATATTTCTCAGTTTGGGGAACTGTAACCTGTAACCGGTAATTACACATAGGGAAGCCAAAGTAAAGTATTCTGGAATAACAGCAACTCTCAAGTTTGATTGTTTCAAAACAAAGTTTTGAGGCTTTCACTGTCAGCATATTTTATACTTTGGGTTTTTTTTTTTACAATTCACTTGAACTGTTTAGGTGTGACAGCCTCTTCAAAACTATCCAGTGACTTTGCCAAGACCACTTATATCCACTACATGGTCAGTATGACTCACTGATACACAAGGGTGAGTAGTTAAAATTCCAGGCATCGTACAACCAGTTGACCTCATTGCAGTAGGTGCACATCAGGGAGATTCTTTCGTTTGGTTGGAGATTCTTATATTACTTTGTTTGTCTGGTTGTTCTGGGGAGCAGGTATGTTAAACATTTACTTGCATGCCACTGTGGGACCCTCCACTGGGGGATCTCCGGTATACCCATATCTCTCTGAACTAGGCTCCCGTTAGTGCTTGCAGTTCTTTCACAGGGAAAGTCTCCTCCCAGGCACTAGTAGGCCATACCTCATCTCCTTCAGTTTATTATTCAAATTTTAGTTTCCTACTTGAAAAAAGACAGCATGATTTTTTTTTTCTCCCTATGTCTTTCTCTCCCCTGACTACCCCATTCCAGGTACCTGTTTCTACTCACTAGAACATATAGTTTATTTATTTTGTATATTTTGTGCTGTGCTCCCACTACCACCATTTAGCACAATAAGGCCTTTGATGTTTTTAATGTTCACAGCTGTATTTTCAACATTTAGAATCTGAGTTTTGGCACTAGAATAGAAACTCAATAAACATCTGTGGATTGAATAAAGAGTGGCAAAGTTTCATCCCATGGAATGCTAAGATTCCATTAAATATAAATTCATCTAATGCAATTCACAGATTTGTAAAGGGAAAGGGAAAAAACTGACCATCTCAATCCATGCTGAAGTCATTAAAGAAATGACTTATATTCATGATTTAAATCCTTTGCAAATTGTCAGAATGAATTAGCTACCACACAATATGTGCTTTAAAAGGTATGTACATAGAAACATAGGTTGAGAGTTAAAGGATTGAATAAAGACAAGATTCAGCCAAAAGAAAAAAAGTGTATAATGTGTGAATCCTTGTATAAATAGTTCAAGAAATGTCAAGAGTTTATCTTTTCAGAATGAAATCAGAAAAGTGGTTGCTTTTACAATGTGGGGAAATTGGTGATAAAGCTTAACAGCCAAAGACGTTAAGGATAAAACTAGCAAAGCAGAAGTGCAAGGATTGGGGTGGGGTTGGGGATGTTAGGTGGGAAGACTGTATCAGAGGCTGTAGGGAGGTTGTTTTGTCTTTTATAAGGCTTGGGTTCTTAAAACCCTGCAAGGTGCACCAGAATTGGAGCTATCTATCTGAACTCTTGAGAAAGAAAGGGACAATAAACACTCCATTTTACAATTTTAAACTATCCAGATTTAAAGATTCTATCCTTGAGGAGAAGATAGGATTTGAATTCAGTGCTTATGCCAAATTCAAAACTGCCACACTCTGGTACTTGGCTGATACAGAGGGAAGAGGAAAAGCCAAGCATCCATTCACCTCAGCGTGGCGCTGTGCCAAATAGTTTAAGGATTTTAAAATCTAACTTAACTCTGAAACAGTCACAAGGGAATATGTGAGGGAGCTCGTGGAACCATTACTGGCTGCAAAACAAAACAATTGAGAATATTTTTCCTGGAAGTCTGTATAATGAATGACTAGTTAAACGTTTGCAGACTTCTCACTGGAACTCACAATGTAAATTAAAAAATGAGCCGCAATGAGAAGTCTACAGCCTCTGTCAGCTGTTTACTGTCCACACGATTACTGAATAACTGTGTCAGTTTCTATACATTAAGCAGTTTGCGGGAGAGAAAACAAAGAAGATGATTTACAAAGCGGGAAGCTCACACATTAGAACTGATACTATAACATAGATCCCGACAAGTAAACAAAACATTTTTTTGCAGTTTTGTTGGAAACGCCCAGAACCATCAACAGTGTTTTCCCACCATTGCGTCTCAAACTTAAAAATGCATCTGAATCCTGGGAAACGTGCTAAAATATGAAGTTCTGACTCAGCATGAGTGTTGGGGCTGAAGCTGCATTTCTCAAAAGTGCAGACTGCCAGTTCAGGAGAACTATATGAGGGGGGTGGAGGAGAAAGGGAGAGGGTTTCAACTTTGACGGAGATGCTCCAAGCAACTGGCGGTAAGGTAAAAATCGCTGTATCGGAGGAAGGCGGAGACCACCCGGTAGCAGAAAAGCACGCTGGACACTGAGCCGAAGGGTCCCACTCCCACCCCTGGCCTTACCCCACGATCAGCAGCGCGCTCTGCAGCTGTCTCCGCACCTCCAGGAACACGCGCGTCTCCGCCATGGCGTGCACCCAGCCCGAGGTTCTAGCGAACCTGGACCACCCCGCCTGCACGCGGGGCTGGGCAGCAGAGGCAGAAGAGCGCCGGCAGCCGGGCCCACAGCGCGTCCGCCCGCCAGTCCACAGCGCCGCCTGCTGGCTGGAGAGCGCGCCGACCGCGGCGAGCGGTGTCCAAGCTTCCTCGAAACTGAGCGCTGAGAGACACAGGGAAAAGCAGAACCGTCTGCTTCTTCTGGGTGCAACCTGGTGCTTTGGCTCCCCCCAATGACCTTAAAAATCAGATGCTCAGTACACTCCTTTGGCTACCGAAGGACTAGACTCGGAGAGAGAGAACTGATGGAGGGAGACAAGATGGGTACAGTTCTCCGGAGACAAGAGATAGGAAATTCCTTCCCCAAACACACTTTATCTCTCTTACCCCCTCCGCCCTCCCTCCCTCTCCTCTCCCCTCCCTTCTCCTCTCCTCTTCTCTCTCTTTTTTACCAAATAGGGTGGGTGGTTAGTTAGTTCTCTTGTCTGAGGTCACAAGATAGCTAGGATTGACTTGATACTACTCAGTGTAGACCCAATTGCTCCAAATTGAAATAGTTGCAAAAATTAATAAAATTTGTTTCCTATGCAAAAGAGAATGTGGTCACCTATAGCTTCACAAATCACAGGAGTACCCACTTATATAGCCTCTGGGGAAAAGAAGATAAGAATGATGCACTATCAACATTTCCACGATTCACTTTTGCAGAAGTAAAAACATTCAGAGAAGTTGTAATCTCATTACTATCAGAACATAATTTTGAAAAGTTGGACCAAAAAACGATTTATTTTTTTAAGATTTATTTAATTTTGCATACAAGAGCTGGGGTGTGTAGGCTAGAGGAGCGGGGATGAGAGGGGATGTGACAGGATTCACCAGAGACAGTGTGGGGAGCAGAACAGGCAGATGTACTGAGATACACTGCTGAGGGAAGCAGCGAGCAGGTCAGGAGAGGCCAGCTGAGCCATGTGGGTCAGTTTCCTGGCTGAGTATCGAACTGGAACTCGTGCTGCAGTGACCGTGGATTGCTTCACAGTGCTGTGCTGTAACACCTTGCAAGTCCGGGGGTAATACAAATACTTAAAATGGGAAAATATGAATTATAAGCCATAAGAATTTTAATAAGAATTCTTTTTCAAAAAGTGGTGTTAGTTTTTTTAAATAAAAACGACTGTGTGTACAAAATGTCGTATGTTTATTGATGTTTTGCTATTACAACGTCATAATTATCACTCACCAATCAATGTGAACACTTTCCAAATAAGTAAATAAAACCTTCCCTAGAGATGCTAGCTTAAGACCAGTTTTCTAAAATTGATATTTGGGGTTTTAGAAGTTGCTTCAAAAATTTCTGTATCCATCACAATTTAAAATTTTGGATGAAGGTAACAACGTAGTTTAAAAAAGTTATGTTTATTGCTATTGCACCTCAAATGATTCATTTACAGGAAGAGTAATGGTTTCAACCTTCGTATCTTCACTTTTAATTCCCAAGATTGTGAAGTGCTTAAATAAATGCATCATATCGAAGTGTGAACATTATGCATTTACTATGCAGTATGCATTTATAATTGTTACTTTTAAAGATCATAGTTCACATTTGTAAAAATCCTAGCACAATGGTGCAACCTTCCTTGGAGTACCACTACATTTGGAGAGTTTCAGAGTTAAAATATCAATAATTCCAACATCTGATACCAACTATTTATCTTGCTACTACACGTGTCCTACCTCTCTAGGCTTCAAACCTCTCGTATGAAAGACTAAAGAATCACTTACAAAATACCTTAATTATTACTTAAATGGTATTTACAATCTGTTTTCAGTTTCTAGCTTCCCTTCAAACTCACCATCCAGAAGGCTGGCACAGTTGCTTTAACAAACCTGGTTATATATCCCTTTCCAGCCACGCCCGAAATTGGTGGTCATGGGCCCCTTCCCTTAAGGTCCGCTTGAGGGCGCTGTGGGTACTGCTAGCGCCCGGAAGCGTGGAAGGACCGGGGGCGGGATCAAGGGCGGACGACGTCGACGCCGGCGTGGGCGCGGGCGCGGTGCAGGCTGGGAGCTGTCACTAGGCCCTTGGGCTCGGGGCCTCCTAGTCGCTGCCGTGGTTGCCAGGAGAGCGGCGCCGGCGGGGAGCGGCCGAGCCCACCCAAGGTAACAGCGTCCCCGCCCCCAGCGCGGTCGCGAGGACGGCCACCGGCGGGGAGCGGCCTCCTGGGCCTGTTCGTTCTGGAGCTGCGGGATTGCCCCGCGGGTCAGACTGCTGCGGTGTCGGGATGTTGCCATTCTGGCCCCGCCTGGAACCGCGACGCCGGCAGGCTGCCCTCCGGCTTCTGGGAAGACGGGAGCTGCGCGGGGACCGGACCCGCTGGGGCAGGACGTGGGCGCGGGGCGGCCCGGCGCTGTGGGAGGGAGGGGGGCCGGGGCGTCGGGGGCTGGTCCGGAGCCCGCGAAGCCGAACGCGCGGTGAGATGGAGACGCACCTGTGCGTTAAAGGCGCGCAGTCTCACCTCTTTGTTGGTGGAATCTGGGCTGCGTGCAGTGTCTTGTCTGGTGGTTCTGTGGGATTGAGGATACGAGATTGCCAGCCACGGTTAAGGTTCCACGGCTGGCTCGGGAAGGAGTACCCAGGTTGATTAGGGAAGTCGGACTAGTCCTAAGGAAGTTGTTAACAGCTATCACCTTTGATTCCCGAGCCTTTTAAAGTTGCAACAGAACAGTAGTTCCTTGTTCAGTTTCCTTTCTTATCGCCTGTCTTGAGGTGGGGGAGCAGCACAAAACTCCACTCTTTCATAGCTAAGTAATTGCGTTTTGATTATTTACACATTAGAGTTCTGTGGACTTTGAGAAATACAAGGATTAGAAAAATTGATTTGGCGACTAAAGCAGTCAAAAACTATTGGTAATTACAACAATTACAAAAAGAGAGGATAGGAAACTACCTGACAAGCTCTGAACCATAGAGAGAGAGAGAAAAAAAATACCTCAATTTCGATGTTGGTAGCTATTTCTCTGAATACAAAAGATCTTGTTTTATTATGGATACCATATGTCAGTATTATGTGCTGAGTAATTTACCACCTGATAAACAGCAGAGATTTAATGGAACAAAGGTTATAATAAGAATACATTAAACCCAGTTGTTACACAAATGCCTTGTTTTAGGGATTATTTACAGTTTCCACTCTGTACGCAGTCATTCCCCAAAATTGCTAAACAAGCTAGCAAATCTGCAGGTGGACCTTATTAGGAACCCATATCTGGAAGTTAGAGAACCTGGTACCTCTCCTTTCTGTGGATCCACTGTCACAGAAGAATTAAAAACACCCAACTTAACAAACGAATCATAACCAAAATGTTGAGTGCAAATTAGAAGTTGTTAATTAAATGTTTGGCAGTTGAAGGAAATCTGTTTTGTAATTAAAGTGGTAGAAAGTGACTGATATGGGAATGAAATATCCTTTTTTTGTTCTGCTAGCCAGGTGTGTTTCCTTTAGGCCTCTATTTTGTTATGTTGAAGGGAGTTTCTTAAGACCACTGTTTCCCAACCTGATGGTTCCTCTGTATACTCTTCTGAATGCATTTGAGTTTCAGTAGCCACACAGTGTTTCATGGCACATAATTTGGAAGGGTTGGGTTTAGTCAGATTTAACTTTTGATTTGCTTTTAATTGCAGGGCTTTTTTACCCTTTATATGTGTCTATATCTTTAGTGCAAGGCAATAGCAGCGTTTCCTAAACTTACCTGGCAAGAGAGCCAATTTCTTATTTCTCATGGCCAGTCTCTTAACATTTAGAATATAGTTACATAGAATACAAATTTGAAAATTTGTAAGTCAGCTGAGGCCCCTTTCAGCCCTAAAATGCCATACATTATTGCTTTTTTTAGTTCCAGCTTAAGCTTTTGTAAGCATGGCAAATCTAGTGGCAACTCACTGGTATAACAAAAGGCTTATATTTTCCTTAGTAAAATATTAATATTAATGATGCATATAGGTTTCTGTGAGCCTTAATGCTTTAATTTATGGCAGAGAAGTATCTTCTTTTTTTTCAGGTCTCTTGATGCTTTCCTTTAACCATAATTAATTCATGTTTTAAATTAGAATTTATGGCCATTATTGATTTTATTCAGAATAACATAAAGTTCCAACAAGTAATGATACATTTATCATGGCATTATTTTTACTATGAAAGGTTACTCTCTCTAATCCTGAATTTTTAAAACTATGAAATGTGATTTAAAAAAAAAAACCCTTGAAATGCACTTAAAATTTATATAACATTTAAGAGTTTAAGTTGTTGAAAGAGTTAAAAATTAAAAGATAAATTCCAATACAGTTGTTTCTAACTTATATAAATAGGATTAAATATAGAATGCAGATTTGAATTTTTTTGCTAAGTTCTATCAGTTGTCACTAGCACACAACCAATGAGACTACTTCTGTTACTTTGTTAGGGGTGAGTACTATTAGTGAATTTTTTGTTTGATGGAGACTGATGGAACAGTAAACTTGATTTTAATAGGTAGTACGTCTCAAGTCAGTGAAATTCTCTCCCTAAAATAAAATCGCTGTAAGTAGAAGTGTAGAGCTGCTATATTTGTGTAATAGATGATGGATTTTATTGAAAATTATATGAAAATAAATACCTTTGCACCTTTGGCTTTGAATTGTCATTTCCCTTTAATCTGTTTCCATCCCCACCCCAACCTAGGTGAGTCTGAAACCTCAGTGACTGCATTGTTGGTTAACAGTAAGGTATCAAATTTATCAGGGAAGAATGTACATATAATAACATGCATTCATTTTATGTCTGCTTTGTGTACCCACCCATGTCTACCCACCATCACAGTCAAGATTTGGATCAGATCACTTATTAACTCTATGTTATATGTACTTTTGTTCTCTTAAGTGCTTTCCCTGTCATGTTATAATCATACCCATCAAATCATAACTCTGATGCCTCCTTGTCTGTGAGTTGTTTTTTTGATTACCTCATTTTAAGTAATTTCCTTCTGACTTTTCTATTTATATTTCTTTAAAAATTATCTCCAAAAAGAAAAAAAAAATCTTTCCTGTTCTTTATGGTTGCTTAGTGGTGATGTTTAGTAGGCACATGTTTTGTTTGTTCACTAAGTGGGTAAATTATTTCTCAAACTTCTTATGTCATCTTCAAAATATTAAGCATGTATGTAGAGTGCCTGAAATATGACTTTCTTCATATTTCTTTTTATCAAGGTGATTAGTAGCATAATTTTTAAAGTAAGTTTGAAATAGCCACTACAAACTAAAAGCAGATATCACTTGCCATAAGCAAAAGCTAGACAAAGAGAAAAATAATGAAAACAAACAATATTTTAAAGTTTAGCTAGAGCTACTGCCTGCTGAAGTCTCTAAATCTGAGACTTGATGTTTTTGTTTCAAATGGGCAGCTAAGGAAGAATTAGTGATGCTAGTAGCTTTCTGGGAATGATCTGAGATTTCCTGCTGCAGTCAAGCACATTGAGAGAAAATTAAGAAGGAATTACTTCCACTTTTAATTCAACATCTCGAAGCCCTGGCCTTGGATCCCATAAAATTATCTCCTCTCTGGTTGGTGACAAAAATTTTAGAAGGTACTAGAATACTCAGTGCCTGAAAATTTCTTGATTTTTTTCCTATGAAAGAATTAGGAAATAAAACCTCAATAGTAAATTTTAAAGTGTATTAGAATTAACTTTAAAAATACTGTAGGGGGCCCTCCCTGGTGGCACAACACTAAAAAGCTTAAGCCACTTCCTCATGAGTTCGATTCCCACCTGCCCGGGAGGAGATCCACATGGCGCAGCAGACCTCTCCTGACCCACCCACTGCTCCCCTCAGCAGTGTACTTTGTTGATCTGCCTGCTCTGCTCCCTACTCTGTCTCTGGTGAATCCTCTCACCCTCTGAATCTCTGGCCTGTATACCCCAGTTCTGTATGAATATTTAAATAAATTTTAAAAAAATTAAAACTATAGGAAGCTGGAAAGCTAACACTCATTCTAAATCAGATGTCTATTCTTCAAAAATGTTTTTAATGTTCCTTTTATAAATAAAGCACTATTACGTTCTTGTTACTTGGACACATTTGCTTTAAGATAAATCTTTAAATTCAAAGCAATACAAATCTAAATGCCAGTGGGAGGATTTTACATGACAACAATGATAACTTGATTTAGAAGTAATGAAATGTTAGTTATATGTTTACCAGCCTCCCTGCTCGCCTAGGGGCTAAGTCTTAGCACTGTCATCACAGAGGCCCACTCTGAAGGCCTGATTTCAATCCCAGGATTAGCTAGGGAGCTAACCCACTTGGCTCAGCAAACCTCTCCTCTTTCCCATGCTGCTCCTTAGCAGTGTACTTCGATAGGTCTGCCTGTTCTGCAGATCTGTTTGGTGAATCATCCCACACACACTCCTCCCTGCCCTCTGCACCTCTGGCTCACACCTCAGTTCTTATATGCAAAAATAAATAAAATCTTTAAAAAAAATAGTTTATCTGACAACACCTTTATAAGAGTAAATGAGGTAATAAATTTAAAAATGTAATACTTTCTCCTTTTCATTTCTATGTTTGAGTTGTAGTTTTATATGTCCATCTCGCAAAAGGTATTTCGAATCTTTTTTTCATCTGAGGTATCAAAATATTCTCTCTTTTAATGGAAAGAGTTCATAAGGATATGCAGAAAAAAAAATCCCTAAATATACTCTTATTTCTGCTTGCTCTGTTACTTACAGACATATGTTTATATTATGTGCTTAATGTTTAAATTGCCATTTTATGAGCAAAGAACTCAGGCTAAAAGAAAAATAATTTAATTTGGTGTTAATGTAACTTGCCTGAATGATAATACTACATTTATCATTACATTTATAGTTTGCTACTCAACCAGAGATCAGGTTGCTATTAATATAAGGTTCTGGGATGGTAAATCAGATTGAAAGTAACAATTGGGCTGTTTGGGTGAATAGATTTTATTTCATAATGTAACCTTCACCAGTTTCTTTCCTTTGTCCTTAGTATAAAACTAAGCAGTGGCATAGATGCAGTGAAAATAAACTGTCATTTAAAAATGACAACTCACTATAACCAGAAAAAAACTACAAAGGCAAAGCCATCTTAGTCCTTTGAATTGTACAGGCAAACAGCCCACGTTACTAATGGCCTTTGATAATCCTGTTTTATTACAAACAGGTGCTATAAGATATCAGCTTCCAGCTACTTTAGGATATGTGTTGTTATGATCAAATTTTTCAAATGGTTGGAAGTCTTGTATATTGCATATCCCATAAATTGCCCTCCCAGTCAGTTGATTATACTTTTTGCTTTTCTTCAGTATGTTGCATCTGGCACAGTAGCTTTCCCATGCTCACAGAACACATCTTATGATGTGTCTGTGTCTCAATTATAAAATTTTCTGTACAAAAATTTTCCCTGAAGAGGATGGGTTAGGGCAGGGGGGAAGAAAATCATCGTACTTGTCTTAAAGTTAGTGTCTGTCTTTCTGGAAGTAAAAGAAGAATTTAAATGACTCAAACATTACCAGTTTATTAAGCATGTCCACATTGATTTAGGCTCGAAAGTTCATCCTTGAGCCTAAATCAGTGTTCTAGGAATGTGATTTTTTTTTAATGGCATTGGGTTTTATTGGAAGTTTAAGCCAAAGCTTTCCCAATTCTATATTTTGACACCGTCTATTTTTGTAATAGCTATTTTTTTTAAAGATTTATTTATTTGTGCATACAGAACTGGGGTACAGGCCAGAGGCTCAGGGGTGGTGAGAGATTTCACCAGAGACAGAGTGGGGAACAGAACAGGCAGATCGACGAAGTACACTGCTGAGGGGAGCAGCGGGCAGGTCAGGAGAGGTCTGCCACACCATGTGGTCTCCCCGGGGCAGGCGGGAATCGAACTCCGGCTTTAGATTCTCAGTGCTGTGCTTTAACCCGCTGCGCCACCAGGGAGGGCCTGTAATAGCTATTTTTTAACGTCTTTTCAGCATAGAGGTTGTGGTTTAAAAAGGAAAGCATTATTTGAGAATAAATGTTTTAGTTACTATTACTGTGTAATAAATTATTTCAAAATGTAGTGACTTAAGACAACAAATATCTGACATAGCTTTCAGAAGAAATTGGAGAGTGACTTGGTTGTGACATTCTGACCTGAGTTTTTGTGAGGTTGCAGTTAAATGTCAGCCTGGAACTACAGTCATCAAAAGCTTTGTTTGGAGTTGGAGCATCTTCTTCCAGAGCGGCTAATATACATACTGGCAGTTTGTTTCTGGCAGTTGGGAAGAGCTTTCAGTTCCTCTATAAATGGGTTTCACCTTTCTGGCTTCTTGAGTGGCCTTATGATATAAAGACTCACTTGCTTACCCCAGAAGAATGATTGAAGAGACATCAGGGTGGAAGTGGCAATGTCTTTTATGACCTAACCTTCACTTCTTCCATATTCTGATGTTCTTATAGACTAGCAGTATTTTTGTGTGGGCAGAGACTATATATAAGCACATGAATACAGAATTGAGGATCGTTGAAGGCCATCTTAGAAGCTTAGCCACCACATCTTGGAAAGCTAGTATTTGAACATATCTCTAAATAAATAAACAGTGCATATATATTCAATATATGACATATATATATATAGCTCATGGTTTTAGAATGGATATTCACAGATGAATTTTTTTTCTTGCTAGAGACAAGAGATCAGACGAGATCATACACACACTTAAAAATCAAACATTTTATTCCTTAAATGGGAGATAATGATTCACATGATTTAAAGTGATATAGTGAAAAGGCTCCTTATTCCTGGCATCCCTCCACTTGTTCTCACTTGGCCCCCAGGAAGTAGTCAGCTTTATTTTCTTGTGTGCTCCTTCAGAAACGTTACACATATGCTAATGATATGAATTTATATTTCCTTTCTTTTATATAAATGGCAGTGTACTATTAACACCGTTCTGTACTCTCACTTTTTAAAATGCATATATTTTCGAGTCTTTTCTAAATCAAAGCATAGACTTTATTCATTCTTTTTATTAGCTGAGTATATTCTATTGCTAAATGTTTATGTTTACTGATAATGTGCTATGAGTCAGGCATTTTTTTTTGAAGAGCTTGGGATATGGCAATTAAGTGATAGAGGAGGACTTTATCACAGAGATTATCACATCTGAGATGACAGTACAGTTAACATAAAGCAAGTACTAAAAATAAATAAATAATGCAAGTACTGATAAAGTGCAGTCTGTAGTGGGAGTTTGGATGAAGGAGTTAAATAGGTGTGTTTAGGGAAATGGTTGAATCATTTAGAAAGTTTGCAAAGGGGATACAATTTGAGGCCTTAAAGGGTGAGTAGGTTCTAATCAGGTTGTTAGAATTTAGTGTGTCAGCAGACTTTAAATCATTACAAATTTATAGTAATCAAAATAGTGTGATATTGACTTTAAAGCAAACCTATCGATTGGTAGAATAGAATTAATGCTCTGAACTGAACCCTTTTGTACATATGACCTTCACCAAAGAATGTCAAGACCACTCAAATAAGGCCACCTTTTAACTAGTAGTATTGGGCAAATTGGATATCCACATGTGAAAAACAAAGTTGAAACCTTAACTGTATACCATATATAAAAACTAATCTTTGATGAATTACAAAATTACTAAGAAAGCATAGGAGAAATACTTTATAACTGGTTTTGGCAATGATTTTGTAGATAAGACAGCAAAGCACACATAATAAAAGCAAAAGTAGAACTGTATAGCACACTTGAAAACTTCTGTGCATCATAGAGGACTGTGGACACTTTGGTGATAGGAAAACAAAAATGATACACCACAGAAGAGAAATCCTACATTGTAAAAAAATAAATAAGCAAGAATGTTTAGAAACAAAAAAATAATTAATTTTAACATGAAGCACTATATCAAAAGACACAATCAATAGAATGCAGAGGGTGCCTATGGGGGGGGATATTCAAAAATATTATAAGAAGCTAATATCCAAAATACACCTCAACAAAGACAACCCAATTAAAAAACGGGCAAATGAATAGACATTTCTTCAAAGATGATACGCAAATAGCCAACATGCATATAAGAAGATACTCATCAGCATTATTAATCATTAGAGAAATGCAGACTAAAGCTGCTGAGATACCACCTCACACCCATTTATATGGCTGTTATTTAAAAAATATATTGTAAGGAAGTGGATAAGTTAGAGCCTTTGTGCACTACTGAAGAAAATGTAAAAAAACAAAGTCTCTTAGAGGAACTGAGGTAGTGAACTTATGAAGTTTTTGTAATAGTCCTGGAGAAACTTCTTAGGAACCAGGCTTAAACGACCATTCTGAAATATATGGTTTACCACAGTCAGATTTAGTTGGGGGGGGGGGGGAATAAATCTGTTGATAAATTGGATATGTCAATAAGAAAGAAAGCCAAAGGATAAGCCCGTGTGATTAGGAAGGTGATAAGCAGCCATGAAGTTGAAAAAAAGAAATGAGGAGGCTAAAGCAGCTATTATATTTGTTGTTACAAGGTTATATTTCTTGTGTTATAGTAATATCCTAAAGAAATTTAAGAGAATTTAATTTCATGTAAATTTAATGTAAATTTTACCTTAAGCAACATTTACTTTGGAAATTCCTAATGATGGAAGTTTTTCCACACCTCTTGTATTTTGATAGCTACATAACTCCAAACATTTTAGATTATTTCCTTATGTAAGATTTCTTTTCTCTGTAGGTGTCATTTATGAAATTTTTTTTTTCAAAATTTTTGAGACTATAATAGTCTCTCTTTAAGCTTGAGAGCTATTCTGACCAAAAATACCTTGAAGTAGTTTTTTACTCTTGGCTTCTGTAATGCCATATTTTCTATTTTAGTTGGTTTCTCAGTTTCCTTTACCTAAATTCTATGATTTTTTTTGAAGTATTGCTTGTGCTATACTTAGGTTTTTGCTTTATATTAAACGTTAAAGTTAGCTGTTAATTCTGTAGCAGGAACATCTTTACTTTGTAATGCTCTGTAACTTTGGTTTCTCTTACAATCTCTTTTTGTAGGTAATGATTATACATGACTTTATAACTGGTCTCTAGTGGGACGCTGTGGGAGGATGAACACAGAAGAGCTGGAGTTATTGAGTGACTCTAAATACAGAAATTATGTAGCCGCAATTGACAAAGCACTAAAGAACTTTGAATACTCCAGTGAATGGGCAGATTTGATATCAGCACTTGGAAAACTTAATAAGGTAAGTCTTTATCCATTTTTTTAAAAAGTGAAACTCAGAAATCACTGTCTATACTTACTGGATTTCTTTTAATGTTGAAATGAACAACACAACTAAACTTCAGAATTGCTTTTTTATTGCCATTATACTTTACGAGTTTCATACCGCAGTAGTCAAACAAAATTAAACAAATATGCTAAGTAGAATGTTGATAAGTTGCTGCATTTGAGCATCAGTTATGATTACAGAGTTCTGGCAGCAAAGTGGAACACTGCCCGTGGGAAGCAATAACTACTGTGTCCTTTCCGACAGTATTGGAAAGAAAATGTTTATGTCCAAGCAAAACTTAGTTATCGTTAGCACTTTTTACAAAGTGATAAACATGTGCTTAGACCTTGGAGAACTGAGACTTGAAAGATTTTCTAATATGTTTAGTTTTTAGCCACTGTTATAATGGGATTATCAGTCAACTCATAGCTTTGAATTTTCAAATCTGTTTTGAAATAGAGTAGTATTATTGAACTTAGTCTAAAAATGTTTTAGTATAAAATGTTATTGTTTATTAATACAATAAATTTTATTTCATATTTTCCAACTCAAATGTTTTTAGAAAATTATATTACGTTTTGCTTTTTTATTTAATTTAACTTCATATTAGAAATTCTTTATTGAAGCATTTTGTGTTAATAGCATTAAATTTCATTCCATAATAATACTTCTGGTAATAATTATAATTTTCCTTAAAATACATGTAAATATTGACTTTTGGTTCCTATGAAAAACATCTACTTTGAAAAAAAAAAACCTTTTTCATATCTATATGTATTTTTTTAAACATTTTTTTATTTATGCATGCAAGAACTGTATGCATATGTACTAGAGGTATGGGATGGAGGGGGGGCGGTGTCAAAGGAGTCACCAGAATCACTGAGGAGCAGAACAGACAGATCTACAGAAATACATTGCTGAGAAGCAGGCTAGACAGAACAGGTCTGCTGTGCCATATGGGTCAGCTTTCTATCTAGGGATTGAACTCCTGCTGAGTGGCTAGTGATCGATAAATAGTGCTGAGACTTATCCTTGTGCCATCAGGGACGTCCCTGTATCTGTATTCTTAATAGTACTCTGCCCTTAATTTGCTTTGATTTAAGATCTAATTTTATTTGATACTCATTGCATCTACATTGAAACAAAAACCTATAGTGGGAATAACACTGAAATGTTATATCTAAGTTGACCTCAGTTAGAACTTCTACTTTTTTTTTTTTTTTTTAAATGAACTGGGGGAACTAATGCTGATTCTTCTGTTATCTTGCCTGTGGCAAACCTTTTGAGTATTTTAACTAAACTCACTTCTTTATTTTGTAAAATAAAGGACTCCTTGCGTGTTTTTTTCTATATTCCAGTTGCAGTATATTGTTCTTGTTAATAGGCAGCCCTGGAAATAGAAGGTGCTTCAGTTTATGAGTCCTCACCCATGTGCTTACAAACTCAGAACAAAACCCAAAAGCAGGCATGCAGAGAGACATTTTTAAAAAGATTTTATTAAGAACGGAGTGAAATAAGCGAGAACAGAGAGCGAGAAGGCAAAATGGCCAGTGTGTGGCTAGATGCTGTCTTTGCTACCAGCAGTACCAAGGTGCAAGTTGAAGCCACAAAAGCAAGAAAGCATAACTGACCTGTCTTCTGGCTTTGAAAGGTCAATGTGACTGCTCATTTTTGCCCTCAGTTCCCAACAGTTCCCTTCCTGTCCCCTCCACCTTGCACAGAAGGATCATTCATGCTGGGCATTGTATTGAGGTGTTCAGGGCTCCAAAGATGGAGACAGAGGCCACAGTGTCTAGCCATCTCAGTCTGCAGACAGAGGATCTGACCAGGCGGGTGCTGGAGGCAATAACGCTCTGTTCATTTTATAACATCCAGTCAGCACTTTACCATCATACTTTAATGAACTACATTTATACTTTGTTTTTGCTGTTTAAATAATATTTCTTTTAGGTGGTTTGTAAAATAGTCTCTTCAGTAAATTCTGTCCTGACCATTATCCTTAAAGAAATGTTACAGTTAAACAAATAAAGCAAAATGTATTTGTTCCAGTTGGGAAACTAAGAAAATAAAAGCAAATGGTGATTATCATCTCATGGAGATTCATGTAAGCATTTAGAGTTGCTTGCTAGAATGCAATGTGCTGTGGCAGTGGTTGCCTCTCCTCCAACCACACATACATGTTGAAATCTGCTTTTCTTCATATATTTCAGTGTATCAAAAAATAGAGACTGATTTGCAAAAATCAAAAACAATGTCTCTCCTGAGAAAAATTAATTTGGAAAATATTTTTCCATAAAAGTGTTATTTCTATTACCATATAATAGGTTTTTAAAAACAAATTGATATCATTAATACTTTTAAATCCTCAGTTTCAATTCAAATGTGGTAGATGTAAGTGGCAAAAGCAAAGTTCTTTGACAAACTAATTTTTTTTAGAGTATAGCGAAGTTCTATAAAGATTTTTTACTAATACTGTACTAGGAAAATGAAATAGAATATTTTTGTTTTTCTTAACTCAATGAAAATATTTTCTTCAAAGGTTTTACAAAATAATGCAAAGTACCAAGTAGTACCCAAAAAGCTGACCATAGGGAAACGCCTAGCTCAATGTCTGCATCCGGCATTACCAGGTGGAGTTCATCGGAAGGCACTTGAAACATATGAAATTATCTTCAAAATTATTGGACCTAAGCGACTTGCCAAAGATCTTTTTTTATATAGGTAAGAATAACCCTATTATTTATTTACATAAGAATAAAAATATTTTTAACTATTCACTTTGCAATAGAAGTATAAGATTGAATAATGGAATTTTTGAATTCCACCCAATCATTAATTTCTTAATATTTGGAGATTTTAGAGATCTAATATATCATGGTAGTTAAATTATTCCAAAAATTTAAGTATTACTTAATGTAAGATTTCTACTTAAATATCAATTATGAAAAGGTTTTAAAAGTTCAAAATATTTGAGTATAGAATAGTCTATAAGCTTGAGAACTGTCCTGACAAAAAATAAGATACTTTGATCTCTCAGCTGCTTTCAACATGGTTGAGGCATTTCCTACTTGAAATAATTTCTTACTCTTGGCATCTGTAATGCCATGTTCTCTGTTTTAGTTGTTTTCGCAGACTCCTTTACCTTATCTCTACATTGGAATTTCTTAGAGCTTGCTTAATCATTTTGGGGTACACTTATCCAAAACCATATTTATCTTTTATTTGTTGACTCTCAAATTGATATTACTAATGTTGACTTCTATTTTAAATCCCTGCTTTACTTGCCATCTCTGTGTTGGATCAAGGCAACTAGAACTCAGTTCCATTATGAACCCGTCTTCTTCAGGCCTTCTGCAGTCCACTAATGCTCAGTAAAGGTCACTACAATCTATCCTTTTACACAAGCCTAAAACCTGAGAGTTACCCCTCTCAGTCTAGGAGTCAGCCCTCCAACAAAGAGGAGGTAAGGGAGCAGGAATTATTCTGTCAGAGAAGCTGTGCATAGATCTAGACAAGTGAAGAGACCATGGAAGGTTCTGAAACAAAACTGAAAGGAATTCTCCAGTATAGATAGATAGAACAGAGGATGCAGTACAGGGGTACAATTGGTAAACAGATATGGGCTGTATGAAACTGTGTAGTAGCAAGATGGCAAAAGCCACGTTAACAGTAGACTTGACCTGAAAGAAAACCCGAGCAAGACTATACTGAGGACAGTTATTTCAGGTTAATACTAAGGCAGTGTAATCAAGATATGATGGCAGTCTCTTCTAAGGAACTGTCTGGTGGAGATGGAGGTATTCAAACAGTATCCACAGGAGTGATTTGGAGAAAAAACTTGGTAATTAATTGCAAATTCGAGTAGGTTTCTTTTAAAAAGGTCATGTATCACTCCTAGATTTATAGTTTGGAGTAACTAGATAGATCGTGACACCATATTGTGAGGTAGAAAATTCAGGAGAAGAAACAGATTGGGGGAATGAGGAGGAGAGAAAGTCTGTTTAAAAGTTGTGAAATTTGAAAACCTATGAAATAACCAGAAAAATACTGGGTTTATGAGTGTGAAGCTAGGCGAAAGACATAAGTTGAATTAATGAATGCAGTCATTTTTTAAGCCAATCAGTATCACTTCATCAAAAATAAGTAAAAGATTTATATATACATGGGTACATATGAATTGATTTTTTTTGGTTATTTTGATTCCCCCCCCCTTCCTTTTTAAATTTCTTTTAAACAGTTCTGGATTATTTCCTCTTCTTGCAAATGCTGCCATGTCTGTTAAACCAACATTGCTAAGTTTATATGAGATATACTACCTGCCTCTGGGTAAAACACTGAAGCCTGGTCTGCAAGGTTTGCTGACTGGTATTCTTCCTGGCTTAGAAGAAGGATCAGAGTATTATGAGAGGTAAGATGGTATTGTTATTGATGCAGCTAGATACAGAAAAATTATGGATTTGATAGTAATTATCCTTAGATCATTAATGTGTTAATGTCACAAAAATTATTCTGGACTCGTCAGTATAACAGTTTAATACCTGAAGATTTTCATTAGCAAACTACTGTATATCTACTTTGTATATCACACTGAAATGATAGCTATATATCGTAAGAGCACAACTTGGCAACTAGAGGGACTGGTTTCAAATCCTGGCTTGACAAACATTGTGTGACCTTAGGAAAGCTTTCTCAACATTTCTGAATTTGATTCAGTTTCCTCATCTATAAAATAAATGTAATGTGTTTGTATCATTGTGTTAATGAAGTCACATAATCCAGTAGCTAGCACATTTCACAAAATTCACTCAAATAATTGTGATCCATAATTTAAAATAATACAGTAAATAAGACATTTAGATTAATTTAAAAAATGGGAAATGGCACCTGCGCCAATATTTTTTTAATGATTAATGGGGGGAAGTAGTCTAGTATCAAGTGTTGTGTTGTTTCACTAGTTGCTGACATGATACTATTGATAGTTAAACTTCTCAAAGAAAATTATTCAGTCTTTTTTAGAACTTGTTAATACTTTGGAAGTTAGTAGATGTAGATAATGCATGATAATATTAAGTATTTTTAATATCTTGTTAATAATTCTCAAAATATTGGGTCCCCTTATAAGCTACCTTGAAAAAAAATAATTTTTGCCCTCAAAGGTTATCATTTACTTTTATTCACTTTTTAATTTTTATTTATCTACACTTTTAGAAAGGTAATGTGAGATTTTTTTCATTTAGTCTATGATTCAATTTTGGTTTTAATTATTACAGTAATTTTCCTAAGGGAAGCATAGAATCAATAACAATTTAAAACTCTACTAGTTACAATTATAAAATTAATGAAGAAATTGATTTATGATCTTTATGACTGGTATTCTTATGATGTGCTTGTTATGTGTCTTAGTCTGTTTTGACTGCTGTAACAAAATACCATAGTGTGGGTAGCTTATAAACAACAGAAATTTATTTCTCATAGATCTGGAAGCTACACATCCAAGATAAGGTGCCAGCATGATTATGTTCTGGTAAGAGCCTTCTTCATGGTTCACAGCTGGAACCTTCTGTGTATCCCCATGTAGTGGCAGGGGTTAGGAGTGCCGTGGCTTTTCTGTCCTGAGATATTAAGCTGATTCATCAGGACACCACACTCATGACTTAAATATGGACAAAAGGCTTCACCTCCATCACTTTTAGGGGTTTTAATGCAAACTTTGAGGGGACACAAACATTCAGGCATTTTGTTTTGTCTAGTATGTCACAAAAGTTTCATAAAAGAATTTGCAAACATGTTCTTTAATAGATAAAATGTAGGTAAGTTGAAGCCAGTAGGGGTTATAATGCTAGCATATTAGTCCTAAAGCAAATAAACAGCAGAATTCATTATCAGATTCTTTTGACTCTAAAACTGTTGTACTTGCAGTATATATACATATATATATATGTAGTTATACATCAAAAAGAATTAATATTTAAATGTCCTAAATAAAGCAATAATATACTCTTGATTTTTCTTCACCTAATTCATTAAAGTTGTGAATTTTGAAGTTGTTATAATTTCAAGGAGAAGGAAATATTTGGAAATGTCCTTTAAGATTTTTGTACAAATCAACAAAAACTATGTTTTATATAGGGTTACTAGCAACTAAATTTTATGTGGTATTTACCTACCCTCTGAGATGTGTAAGACTTGTGGGGGTTTTGTTGTCTTTATTTTATAGTTGAGGAAACTGAATTGAAAGATTATTTCCCCATGTTACACAGCTAGTAAATAGTGGAGCCAGGACTTAATTCCAGCGCTGTGGCCCTAGAGAATATGTTTCTTCCCTTCTATCACACTTACTGCAAGGGTAGAACATATTTCTATACCATGGATGTTTTCATACATTCTTGAAGATAATAATAATTTATTTTTAAAAAGGTGAAACTAAACTTTTCCCTTCGTAAACCACTTTATTTTGCACCCCAGAACAAACACACTATTGGAAAAGGTTGCTGCTGCAGTGGACCAGTCAGCATTCTACAGTGCCCTCTGGGGAAGCCTTCTCACCAGTCCTGCTGTGCGTTTACCAGGAATCACGTATGTTCTAGCCCATTTGAACAGGAAGCTCTCCATGGAAGATCAGCTTTATATAATTGGCAGTGATATTGAGTTAATGGTAGGTCTGTATATGGTTGCTCTTGTAACCAATACTTCTTCAGAGCCAAGCACCCTGTTCAACACAGACACTGAGAATTGTGTCATAAACAGTTTCTGTTTTCATGGAATTGATAATTTTCAGCAATAAAATTTATAAAAGCAGCACTGCCAAGCTAGCAGCAGCCGTTTCAGCTCGAGTTCGATCCCTGGCCAGTGAGCTGACCCACATGGCACAGCACCTCTCCTGTCTCACCCGCTGCTCCCCTCAGCAGTGTATTCTAGTCAGTCTGCCTGTTCTGCTTCCCACCCTGTCTTTGGTGACTCTTCTCACTCCACTCCACCCCACCCCCACCACTAGTATGAATCCCAGTTCTGTATGCATAAATAAATAAATCTTTAAAGAAAATTTATAAAAGGCCAAAATAAGCAGTAAGTATGGATTTAAAAAAAAAAAGATTTATTTATGCTATAGAACTGAGGTACAGGCCAGAGGTGCAGGGGCCGTGAGAGGATTCTCCAGAGACAGAGTGGAGAGCAGAACAGGCAGATCGACGAAATACACTGCTGAGGGGAGCAGCGGTTGGGTCAGGAGAGGTCTGCCACACCTTGTGTATCACCTCTGGGGTTGAGGATCGAACTCATGGGGAAGTGGCATTAGCTTCTTAGTGCTGTGCTTTAACCTGCTGTACCACCAGGGAGGGCCCCAGCAGTAAGTATTGATTTTATAAGTTTTAATTTTTTTATGGAAAACTAATTATATGTTATATCTACTATTCATTATCCAAGTTAGTGGTCTTTACTATCATCTTGATGAGTCATCAGACCACTGTTAACATAGTCACAATTATAATGTTCCAAAGTGAACTTTCTCTTTGAGCATTTTTTTTTCTTAATAGGAATGATGGATTTTAGACAAAATGATAGTTGGGTTCTGAATAGGGTTTGTATGAGGGTATAGTACTAAAGCAGAGAATGAAAGATAATAGACAAAAAGTTCCCATTGATTACATATTTATGCTTTTTAAAAATTTTAAGATTAAGAACAGAAGGAAATACTTTATCTGTAGAATGTTGTAGTACTTTTTTTTTTTTTTTTTAAAGAGTTTTACTTATTTTTATGTAGAAGAACTTGGGTGCAGACCAGAGATGTTGGGGGTGAGAAGATTCACAAAGACAGAGTGGGGAGCAGAACAGGCAGTTCTACTGAAATACACTGCTGGGCTCAATAGGAACAGTCTGGTGGGAGACTGAACTCAGGCCATTGCAGTGGGTCTTTGCTGTGGTAATGGTGAAACTTAATGTCGTATCCTTAAAAATAGCAAAGATGGGGCCCTCCCTGGTGGCACAGCATGTTGAAGCACACCACTGAGAAGCTAAAGCCACTTCCCCATGAGTTCGATCCCCGCCTACCTGGAGGTGACCACATGGCAGCAGCGGCAGACCTCTCCTGACCCTCCCACTGCTCCCTTCAGCAGTGGTCTGAGGGGACACTGTTGTGCTTCCTACTCTGTCTCTGTGAATCCTCTCACCACCCCTGTGCCTCTGGCCAGTACCCCAGTTCTGTATGCACAAATAAATAATCTTTAAAAACAAAACAAAACAATAATAGCAGGGCCCTCCCTGGTGGCACAGCAGGTTAAAGTACAGCACTAAGAAGCTTAAGCCACTTCAGCATAATTTCGACTCCCGCCTACCCTGAAAGTGATCCACATGGTGAGGCAGACCTCTCCTGACCCGCCTGTTACTCCCCTCAGCAGTGTACTT